TTGCTTCTGTTTTCATCGAGGCTTCCCTTCCTCCTTTTCCGATAGTGCGCGAGAGGCCTCTTGTCTTTGTAGGGTTGCCGACCTCTAGGTGGGGAATGGGAGTATCCTGGAGTGATAACTGATCTACATACATTACTTATCTATTTAAAACATTTATTCCTCTTGGAGAAAATGGCTGCTTTGGAAGGTGGACTGATAGCATTATACTCTACCGATGTCCCTCCCTAAACCCCACTCACCCAGGCTCCATCCTCAGCTCTCCAGGTATTCCCGAACCCAGAGTTGGAGGCTTTACCCTGTGTGGCTTGCAAAGTCTGCAGTGTTGAAGCCGAAAAGGGCAGTCGTGTTGGTCCGCTGCAAGCAAGAAGCCCAAGAGCCTCGCGGCATCTTGGGGCCCTCGTGACGCCACGTCGTCGGATGCATGAAACGTTGCATTCGGGTGGCAGAGCGTGGGCCCGGAATGGCGTCTCCATCGAATGAAAGTCATTCGCGTTTTCCATTGGAAGTTACTGTGGAGAGAAAATGCATTTGCGGTGTCTTACATGACAATTTCATTCCTCTCTGTCTCAGTTCTCGAGTCTAGCATCTTCCTTAGAGTAGGCGAAACGATGGAAGGGCTGATTCCTGCCCTTCTTTGTGCGGCTGTATAGACGCCGCTCTGGTTTCTGGTTTCCAGTGGTCTTCTCTGGGCCTCTTCGAATTCCCATAAACAACCCCCCCCCCCCATATAAACTCATGTCCACCTATGTGGATTGTGCCAAACTGGGAATCTTATTTTTGGCTATTTCCTTTGCCGAATAATGCAACTTTGCTTGTGGTTGGTATTATTTTTCAGGTTCTGTTGTGTTTAACAGATGTTTGGTTGGCAGAATCCAGCAGATACAGATTTTCCCATTATTGGGATATATCAAAGGGGAGTGATTAATCTCTTCAACTCTGCCTGGCATGGTCTTGTTCCAGAGGTCTTACCAGATTGCTCGTGTTTGTTGTTGTTGTTATTAATAACTTTATGATTTGATTATGGCTAAATACTTATAAACAAAGAGGAACCAGTTCTCAGTGCAGCCAGTACAAACTCCAAAGACGAAACAAGAGAAAATGTGCACATGTATCACCAGTAATGAAACAGTATGCAATCCATGGAATGAATGTCATGTACACAATGTAAAACATAGAATATCATGCACACAAAGCATTAACATATTCAGTTTTTCATTGGACTGTTGACTGAGAAGCAACATGTTTATTTGAACACTTATTTGATATTGCTGCCCACTTTGGTCATAGTTAAACAAGCCCAGGGTCTTAAGCCTCAGTCCTCTTGGAAAGGATTGTTCTCTGCAATATTCTGCTAGAGTGGAGACATGTAATTCCACCTTGATCAGTTTAAGCAAATCTGCATCCTAACAATCACTGTATTGTGTCAGTATCATAAAACATAGTTATTGGTTTCCACCCTGCCAAGAGACCACAAGTGAAAAATGGGAGCAGGTCTTCAGTGCAGCCAGCACGCCCAAAGGACCGAGAGAAAATATACACGTTTCCAGTAACAATATACAGTGTATGGAATGAATATCATGTATGCAAAATGTAAAATCTTTTGGCAGGTTGGGTTATGGTGGCCTCTGCTCTTGCAGTATCCCTCTGTTATTTCTGTTTTCTTTTCAGGAACATGCAGCATGGAGAGTTATACATTTGAAGCACAAATCCATGACATCATGTTATATGGTACTTTCGTTAAACCATGTTGTGCACTGGTAAGTGGTTCAAAAGATGTTTGATTTTTCTTACTGCCTTATGAAACTTACTAGCTATGAATTTTATATTCCCCATTTGCAATGTACACATCTTTTATTTGGATAACAAGGGTACTGCATATTCTGCTGCTTAAGACCAACACGGCTACCCAATCTAAAAGTATTACATGTTTGGGACAACAGTCAAACCCTTTCTTTAGTTATACATTTGAAGCACAAATCCATGACATCATGTTATATGGTACTTTCATTAAACCATGTTGTGCACTGGTAAGTGGTTCAAAAGATGTTTGATTTTTCTTACTGCCTTATGAAACTTACTTACTAGCTATGAATTTTATATTCCCCATTTACAATGTACACATCTTTTATTTGGATAACAAGGGTATTGCATATTCTGCTGCTTAAGACCAACACGGCTACCCAATCTAAAAGTATTACATGTTTGGGGCAACAGTCAAACCCTTTCTTTAGCTGTGCCAAGAAGTCTACTCAGAATCCTAATCAGGTCTATTAGCAGGGCTTACTCCCAAAAAAGTGTTATTGCACTGTAAGTCCTCCTGTGCAGTAGATAAACAGCACGTTCAGCCTTGCTTTAAGACAAAAGAGGCTTTTCAGAGCACAGCCATCCTTGGTAGATGGGTGTTCTTCAAAAAGAAAACAACACTTTGGGTGTTAGGTATGTTTTCATACTAATCTGAGAGAATTAATATTCTGAGACATGTTCAAAACCAGCTGCTGGATCAGATAGTTCATTATTACTTAAATGTAAACAGATCTTAAATTCTGTTCTCAGTTTGCTTTTACAGTGAGATCTATAAATCTCTGCATTGTTTTGTAGGCTTCTGAGAAATTCGAGAAGTGTTCTTCAAAGAAATACAAACCAGGTAAATAAAACGTCAATGCATGGTAGTAAAAGAAAATATTTCCTTGTAGTTTACTTAATAACCAAACTCTGTGCTTTGCTACTCTGTGTACTGATATAGTAATGTTGTATCTTGTGTTGGTGCCTCAACACTGATTCAAATCTTAAGACCCTGTGGTTTCTGTTGGCTGTTGTTTTGTCTCTTCCAACCCCCCACAGACATTGGCTAGCCCGCAGGGCCCAAACCAAGAGTCCACACCTTGTATTTTTTGGGGGGATGCTAATATTAAATCGGCCAAATTCAGATCTCTGACAATGGGAGTTTGTTGATTTATTTACTTTGTTCATGCCTCAACAGATACCCAAAATGGCTTACATCATTCTTGTCTCCTCCTTTATCCACACAACATCCCTGTGAGGTCAGTTAGGCTGACAACATGTGACTGGTCCAAGGTCACCCAGCGAACTTCCATAGTAGAGTGGGGATTTGGACCTGGGTTGGCCAGATCCTAGTCTGACACTTTAACCACTGTACCATGCTGAGTGTGTCACAGTTGTATATAAACATTGAAGAAGACATTTTTGTACAGATCTCAAATAAAATCATGCCAAACTAACTAGATTATATTCAGACCTACCCTAACTGAACACAACCAAACAAGTATACTTATGTAAAAAGGGTGATTCTTCAAGAAAGACAGCAACATGTTTGTAAAGGTTAAAACGTAGCCTTTAGTGAGTAGAGCTTCATTGAGACTCACTACTCACCACATGCTTCTTTTTCTTCAGATGATATCTGGACAATATGGTGTAATAAGCCAGTGTATGAGCTGCACAAATATTGTGATGTGATTAAAATATACACCTTTTGGCCATTTTTATTTGAACGTAGACATAACCTCAATGAAAAATTTAATGGAGATCTCAGGTAAGCAGGTATTTTTTTGCATTTGTTAAATTTCTGCTTTACACTCTGTACACAGATATTTATTTAAATTGTATTTCCCATTTTGGCACATACTCTCAAACTTGCAATAGAATTTTATAACAGCAGTTTATGACACTAAATTTATTTAGTTACAAAATCCAGCCTCTAGAAAATATCACTTTCAAAATAGAGTTGTTTACATTTTAGAACATCAAGAATATGAAGAGAGTTGGAATGTTAACAGTCAGTTTTGTAATCAGGTCACAGTTACAAGCTGGCATGTTACTTGTTGCAGTACCAACTGCAGTGCTTTAGTTGATTACTGATGTTTAGTATATTATTTAAATTAACGGAGAGTGCCTGTAGTTTCTGGTGTATTCCAAAGCCAGGTTGCAGATACAAGTGACAAAGGCGAAAAGGAGGAGGGGTATTCCGAATAACTCCTTTTATTATGATGCATTTCAATTGAAACATTTAATCCCCTGTTTGTCCTTCTCCAAGGAAATAGGTTGGCTAGAGTTAGATTTAATTTCAAAGAGATGGGGGGATTTCACTTATTATATGATAAAGTTTTTTGTAAAAAAAATAAAGTTGAACTTGCTTTCAACCCTCCATGGCTCTATTTGGTATGGAGGAAATGGAAAAAGGTATTATA